AGGGAAAAGAAAAAAGAAAAAAAAAAAAAAAAAAAAAAAAAAAAACTTTTATTTCATTCACTTTTCCCCTCAAATCAATCCTCAAATCCTTGATACAAATACAACTTTAAAGAAGGCCGGACGACAGAGAACCGAAAAAGTTTTGCATCACCAAGGATGTAAAATGATATCTCAAGTTTGCATATTTATAGATGCAAACTATCTTGACAGAATCTTTCAAACATTCATTTAAGAAATGTATTTAGATAGAACAACATATATGAAATGCGCTAAACAGAGAAAAAAAATCTCATCAAATCAGCAAGTTTCTATGTTTTGTTCGAACATTGAGGGTATTTGGGACTTGTATTGACCTCTTTGTCTTCTACATATTTTACAAATATGTTCATTTCAGTCAAGACATGGCTGATGAAATTTTTTCTGACGTGGCTTCTATTTATGTATCAGCTTTTAGTGAAGCAGTTCAGACTGATGAAATGGATGATAAGGTGAGGATATGATTGGGCTTGTTTGATATTGTTTTCATTTTTAATGTTTTCAATTTTCATTTTCCACTTGTGTTTTCAGAAATAGGAAAGAATGAGTTGTTCAAAAACAACCATTTGTTTTCATATCATTTCATTTTGTGCGAAAACAGTTTTCAAATATTCAGAAAACAACTTTAAAACATTTCTTAACAAACGGGTGTTTTCAGAATACCATTTTCTGAAAGCAGTGTGTCAAACAAACAAAGTTATTGTTTTGAACTTTTCTTCATTTATATGTACTTTTCAATTTTATACATTTTTGCATTTGCACTGATTGATCTTGTTCATGAATTGGCAGTACCTTGTGCTTGAACTGATAGGAAGAGGATCCAATGGCACGGTTTACAAGGCCTTTGACTGTGTCACCAGTAAAACTGTGGCTATGAAAGTTACTCTGTTTAGGACTAACATTGTAGGTATCCCAAGCTCGGCAATGTTGGAGAAAAATGATTGAATAAGAAATTACCTCATAAATGTGTATATAACTCACATATTTAAGGCTCATCAGTTTTATAAAATTGATTGGAGTTCATCTACCACATAACATTGGGTGTTAATTGTTGGAAAATTTATAAAGAGGTAGTTGTGAATTGAAATAGATTCCATTTTGAATGAAAGGGTGTAATCTTTCATGGTGTCTTTTTGTTTTAAAGGAAGGGTCAAACCTCCATTTGAATGAAAGGGTGCAAACCTTTCATGGTGTCTCTTTATTTTAAAGGAAGGGGTATGTCCCTTCTTCATACCTTTTCTATTCAAATTGAATAGGTGCCAACAAAGCCTATATAAAGGCAGCCCCATCTCAATTTTGATTGATTCCGAAAATTCATTTTCCTTACCTTCATTTTGCTCTCTTGCGTCCTTTATTCTTCATATTATTTTAGGGTAATTTTCAGAGAGTTAGAACACAGGTTTGGTTCGTCGAACAAATTGTTTGAAGTGTTACTATAATTTGTGAAGATCATTGTATCCTGGGAGATAGACGCAACTCAACCGTAAGCACCGTAGCGGGGCGAATCTGTCTTAAGGACAGAGTGTCACACACTCGACTTGGTCTTTTATTTTTAATTCGGTTCGATAAATAAATTCAGTAAGTTATTTATTTTATTTTATTTGACTTTGTTTTTATTTATTTTATTTACACAGAAGATTGTTCCAACAATCTTAAGACAGATTTGAATTATTCTGTTTACAGAATTTTTCGTTTGTTTCCTTTTCTCTTTCTTCTTTTAAGAAAATTATTTTTTGTGGATTTACAAAATAATATTCTGGTTGGAAAAACAAATAGTGATTATATGCTATTTGACAGATAGTAGTATTATACTGTCTATTTTCTTTGACAGGGGTTGGTTTGGGGTGTCCTAAAAAAGTATACTTTTTGTCTTTTTACGAAAAGATATGCAGAAAAGTAGAGAGGTGATGTGATGGGAAAAAGATAAAAAGATGGATTATATAGGTTATGCCAAACCAGGTCCTAGTAGTACGATACTGGTGTCATTAATAATTCAGAATATATTTTTGTGAAATTTTGTCAAAAAATTAATTTTGATTTTTAGAAATTATTTTCTGAGTTTTCATTAATTAAAATTCTGTTTCAGTATTTTAATTATTGAAGTGTTACAGAAATTTAATTTGCTGTGTGGAATTAATTTGTTTAAATAAAATTTTATTTTATTTCTAAATTAATTGAAAAGTAAAAGTTACATTCTTGTTTATTTTATTTTTACAGAATTTAATTCTGTGAATTTGGATTAGTTTTCTGTGTGGAATTAATTTGGTTAAATAAAATTTTATTTTATTTTATTTCCAAATTAATTGAAAATAAAAGTTACATTTTGGTTTGTTTCTTTTATTTTAACAGAACTTATTTCTGTAGTTTTGGTTTAATTTGTTTAAATAAAATTTTATTTTATTTCCAAATTAGTTGGAAATAAAAGTTACAATTCTTGTTTCTTTTATTTTTATAGAATTTAAAATTCTATGTTTTTTAGTTTAAATTTTCTGTATAGTATAAAATTCTAATTATAATTTTATTTTATAATTTAGAATTTATGGCTACTAAAACTGGTCAAACTAATGTTCTAACCAATACTGGTATGGTGATTGCCATTACGCCAACCTCTCCTTATGTTGGGACTGTGCCAATGAATCATGGTGAAAAACTAGAGAAGTTCTTAAGAACTATTTTTAAAACATGGCAAAAGAGAATGCTATCTAAAGGAGGGGAAACTAAGAAATACAAGTTTAATGGCATTTGTTACATTTGTAACAAAGAAGGACATCGTGTCAAAGATCGCCGTTCCAAACATAAAGGCAAAGGAAGATCAAGTAAGAAGGTTGCTAAAGCCAAAATGGCTGAAATGGATAAAATTTCCAATGGTGTAGATGTCATAAATCTTTCTGTAGTTGTTTCCGAAGCAAATCTTGTCAGAAATCTTAAAGAATAATGGGTGGACACTAGTGCTACTCGTCATATCTGTGCCAACAAAAAGATGTTCACATCTTATTCTATAGTGGACAATGGTGAACAACTTTTTATGGGCAACTCCTCAACTTCCAAAGTTGAAGGACAAGGAAAGATTATACTAAAACTGACATCAGGAAAGGAACTCACTCTCAACAATGTGCTGCATGTATAGGACATTCGCAAGAATCTTGTTTTCGGATCTTTGTTGAGTAAGAATGGATTTAGGCTAGTATTTGAGAGTGATAAATTTGTACTTACTAAGAATGGGATGTATGTAGGAAAAGGTTACATGTCTGATGGCCTTTTCAAGTTAAATGTAATGACCGTTATACCCTCAGTTATTAATAATAATACATCTTCTTCTTACTTGCTTGAGTCTTCAAATTTATGGCATGGTAGACTAGGACATGTTAATTATGGATCTTTGCGTAGATTAATTAATATGGAATGTTTACGTAAATTTTCAATTGATTCAAATCATAAATGTGAAATTTGTGTTGAGGCAAAATTATCTAAAACTCCTTTTCATTCAATTGAAAGAAGTATGGAACCACTTGAATTAATTCATAGTGACATTTGTGATTTTAAGTCAATTCAAACAAGAGGTGGGAAAAAATATTTTATCACTTTTATAGATGACTATGCTAGATATAGTTATGTTTATTTAATTCAAACCAAGGATGAAGCTTTGGAAATTTTCATTCAATATAAGAATGAAGTTGAAAATCAACTTGGTAAGAAAATCAAGAAACTTAGAAGTGATAGAGGTGGTTAATATGAATTACCTTTTTGTGAATTTTGTAAAGAACATGGAATAATTCATCAAACCACCGCTCCTTACTCACCTCAACAAAATGGAATTGCTAAAAGGAAAAATAGGACTTTAAAAGAAATGATGAATGCCATGTTAATAAGTTCGGGATTACCTCAGAACTTGTGGGGGGAAGCAATACTTTCTGCTAATTATATACTTAATAAAGTATCCCGAAAGAAAGTGAATCAAACACCTTATGAATTGTGGCATGGAAGAGTACCATCTTACAAGTACTTAAAAGTGTGAGGGTGTTTGGCTAAAGTGGCTATTCCTAGTCCTAAAAAGACTAAGATAGGTCCTAAGACTATTGATTGCATTTTCATTAGTTATGCCAAGAATAATAGTGCTTATCGGTTTTTGATTCATAAATCAGAACATTCCGAAATGCATGTAAATACTATTATTGAATCTCGGAATGCATTTTTCTTTGAACATATATTTCCAAATAAGACTGGACAAGAGATTAGTAACCGTAAAAGATCTCATGATGCTATTACTAGTCAGGATCAAGAACATGATCAAGAACAAGAGTTAGATCAAAATGAGGAAGAGGAACCTAGGCGTAGTAAACGTGCTAGAATCTCAAAATCTTTTGGTCCAGATTTTCTAACATATTTGTTAGAAAATGAGCCTTTAACTTTTAAAGAGGCTATGTCCAATCCTGAGGCTCCTTTATGGAAAGAAGCTGTCAACAGTGAAGTTGAATCCATCTTGCAAAATCACACTTGGGAATTAGTGGACTTGCCACCAGGTTGTAAACCTCTTGGGTACAAGTGGATTTTTAAAAGGAAAATGAAAGCAGATTGATCAATTGACATATACAAGGCAAGACTTGTGGTCAAAAGTTTTAGACAAAAAGAAGTTCTTGATTACTTTGACACATACTCACCGGCTACTAGAATAACATCCATTAGAATGTTAATCGTCATTGCATCTTTATACAATTTAGAAATTCATTAAATGGATGTGAAAACCGCTTTCTTAAATGGTGAGTTAGAGGAAGAAATTTACATGGAACAACCAGAAGGTTTTTCTGTTCCATGAAAAGAAAAGAAAGTGTGTAAATTGGTTAAATCATTATATGGTTTAAAACAAGCGCCAAAGCAATGGCATGAGAAATTTGACAAGGCAATGATGTCAAATGGATTCAAAATTAATGAGTGTGACAAATGTATTTATATTAAAAACACAAACAAATGTTATGTCATTGTATGTCTTTATGTAGATGATATGCTCATCATAGGTAGTAATAATGACATGATTAAAACTACTAAGAAAATGTCGAATAAACATTTTGACATGAAAGACATGGGCATTGCTGATGTAATTCTTGGTATGAAAATTACCAAAACATCAGAAGGATATGCTTTGTCACAATCTCATTACATTGAGAAAATACTTGACAAATTCAGCAAAGATGATGATCATCTTGCTAGAACACTTGTAGATGTTAATTTGTATCTTTCTAAGAATATACAGGAAAATATTTCTTAATTAGAGTATGCCCAAATTATTGGAAGCTTAATGTACTTGATGAACTGCACTCGCTCAAATATAGCTTATGCAGTAAGTAGATTAAGTAGATATACGAGTAATCCAGGAGTATAACATTGGAAAGCAATTATAAGGGTTCTAAGATATCTCTAATTTACTCGTAACATTGGGTTAAATTGTACTAGATATCCAGCAGTACTTGAAGGTTACTGTGATGCAAACTGGATATCGGATACTAGAGACTCAAAGTCCACCAGTGGGTATGTCTTTATTCTTGGTGGGGCGGCTGTATCATGGAAATCTTCCAAACAGACTTGCATTGCTAGGTTTACTATGGAATCAAAATTCATAGCTTTAGACAAAGCAGGGGAAAAGGCAGAATGGCTTCGCCACTTCCTTGAAGATATTCCAATTTGGCCAAAACCGGTGCCTGCTATATATATATATATATATATTGCGATAGTCAATCAGCTATAGGTAGAGCACAGAGTCATATATATAACGGTAAGTCACGACACATTCGTCGTCGACATAACACCGTGAGACAATTACTCTCTAATAGAATTATTTCCATTGAATATGTGAAGTCTAAAGACAACATAGCGGATCCACCAACCAAAAGGTTAGCAAGAGAGTTAGTTGAGAATTCATCGAGGGGAATAAGACTTAAGCCTATTTAATAAGAGCTACCACA